AAACTCTTCCCCTAGTCTTATCCACAAGAAGAATATCACTAACGAAAAGTATACACCAAAGCAAATCTTCCTATAAATACTTAGTAAGAGCATCCATTACTGAACTAAAAATGTATAGACTTGAAGCCGATCTTCGATGTAATCCAACAAAAATAGAAAAATATTTGATCCTAGTTGCTACACCCTAATGTCTATACGTATTTTTCGAAAATATTTGAAAATAAAAAGGTAAATGATGAGGAGTTACTTCCTCGAAGTTCCCGGGTAAGAGAAGAGTGGAAGGATGAAATGGGAGTTTCCGGTTATTGTAAGCCGTGATTTCGTCGTTGTGTTCTCTGCTAGCTTCTAATGACTATCTCGAGGGTTTGAAAACGAAGGCACCCTCGCGGACGAAGACGATGGTTTTGGACGAAACAGAGAGGGGCGGAGGGACATGCGAGGGTTTCAGGGATAGGAAAGGGCTTCAGGAGGAAGGAACGAGGAGAGATGGGATTAGGGTGAGAGGGGGAGGGGTCATGATTTTGGCGGTATAATGAATTATTTTTGACAGCTTATACACTGCTTAAAATCCATCTGGTACTAATACTATTACCGACGGCAATTCCTGTCACTTCTTATAAAAGCACGTCGGTTAATACCTTACCAGATGGCAGTTTAAAGATAACCAATAACAAATCGTCATCGGTTAAAATATGTTCCTAACCGATGACTTATTGCGTCGGTAATAATAAAAACCGTCACCAAAAATATTGATGTCAAAAAGAGATGAAAGTTCTGGAGTAATGCCGTCGCAAATAACCCAAATATAAACCATAGTTAGATCGTCAGAAATTTATATTATTACCTACGGATAAAGCGTCACTTATTAAAAAAAAATACATTGGTTAGAACCTCATTAAACGATAGAATACCTCGAGAAAAATTTTACTGTGTTTAACCGACGAGCATAAGCATTTGTAACGATTAATACGTCGAGAAAAATTTTACTGTTTAAAAGCAACAATATTTTTTGTTGTTAAGCTGTCGCAAATAATTCAGATCATAAATCGTCACTGGACCGTCAGAAAATTGATTATTTTTTTGTGACCCAAAGGTAAGCAGTCACTTTTAGCGCTTTTTGGTGTAGTGAATCCTACAAGCCTAATCATATTTTTAGATGACTGCTTCCTAAGGAGTAATGGTCATCCCCCTCATTAGTTTATATGTGAGTCCCCCTAGTTTAGTTGATAGATGCCAAACTTCGCTCGTTCAGTCCTTTTTGGACCTATTTGGTGAGCTTTTCCTAAATCAGGCAAGGCAAGTTTATCTCAAACTTGGTAAGGGTGTCTCCCCGAAGAGAAATATTTGCGTACATAAGATGTACGCAGTGCTGCGTACATCAAGGGTTATTCAGGGGGTACAATGGGGTTATATCTGGGTTATACCCCCTTGTAACCTCCGGTATAACCCGGATAAAACTCCTCTGTACCACCAGAATAACCTCTGCTGTACCCAGCGCTGCGTACATCTTATGTACGCAAATATTTCACCTCCCCGAAACCTGACAACTAAGTTAAACACCATGCCCTCCCTTTCGACAAGTTTGCCTAAAGGGTGTCTATTTATCATGGTCAAATAAATTATTAGTAATGACAAATACTTTATTCTTCATGAATATTAATTTAAAATAATTTTATGACTCCCAAGTTTCCTAATGAGCATTCTTTTCCGTGCCACTTTCCCAAATTGTAGGTGGTTTATCATTCTTTATGGCATAAGTAACAACAATCCATCTTAGATTATGAAGAATTATTTCCTTCAATTTATTGTAGCTTTCATTTTCACTTGGGATTGTGAAACTAAATATCAAAGATATTTGTCATGACCATAAACAAAAACTTTATTATCTATAAAAATTAAAATCAATAAACATGTATCAAGCTTTAATAATATAAACCATATATTTACATAAAAAAAAAAAAACATACGACTCAATTAGATTCAGCAACATCCTCATGACAAATTTATCAAATCATGTTCCTTCTTCTATTCCCAACGGGCAACTAATTAGAAAACATAATGAGGCAAGACAAAGAGAAATGATAACGAACATATGTGGAGGAATTGAAATAGGAGGATTAAATTCATAAAATTTCATTCACAATGGATTATTGCTAAAGTCCAGCTTGCCGAACCCAGATCAAATGAAGAACTAAGTGAAGGTAAGGACCTCCGGCACTTCGACCGGATACCGGTGGATGCAGCCATCCCACGGCCCGTTTGCCAGCTCGTCGAACTTGCGAACGCACCGCCAAACCGCACTGTTACACTTAAAGCCGCTCCCAAACCCGATCATCCAAATCCTATCCCCTTTCCTCATCCTCCCCTTGGCTTCCACGTACGCCAACTCATACCACAGCGAACTGCTCGACGTATTCCCAAATCGATGCAGGGTCATTCGCGACGCCTCCACGTCCCCCGGCTTGAGCCTGAGGCTTCGCTGGAGCTCGTCGATGACGGCTCGACCGCCGGCGTGGATGCAGAAATGATCGAAAGCCTTGCGGAAGTCGGGGATGTAAGGGGGCCAGGAGGAGGAGAGGGCGCGGCGGGCGATGAGTGCGAGGAGGAAACGGAGCTGTTCGGTGGCGGGGAGGACGAGGGGAGCGATGGCGGTGATGTTGGAGCGGAGGGATTCGCCGGCGACGTTCATGAGGTCTTTGGAGAGGGAAATGCCGACTTGACCGGAGGGGTCTTCTTGTTGGTTGACGCAGAGGAAGGAGCGGTCGTCCGAGCCGCGGTGGGTGCGGACGATGTGGAGTAGGCGGTATTTGGGGGAGGGGAGGGAGGAGGGGTGGTTGGAGAGGAGGGAGGCGGAGGCGCCCATGCGGAAGAGGCAGTTGGGGAGGAGCCTCGGCCGCCCGGCGTAGTAGTTGGGGCTGATAATTTCGGTGGACACGATCAGGGCATTGGACTTGTGGTGCACCTGAACTCTTGTAATTAGGATGAAATATTTGATTGGTATTATTGTAAAAAATTGAAATTTAGGTTTGATATGTAAATACATATGAAGTGGGGGTATGTACATAATATTTAAATTCAAAATTTTTCTGCTTTTTCTTTATTTTAAAATGTAAAAAAAATATTAAGTTTCGGCATCTCCTTTTTATTTTAACATTTTTTAAAAATAAAATTTAATTGATTCATCCCATAAATATATTAAATAATTAAAAAAAAACCAATTAATGCTTCCTCCATCATGACTCGGCTTTTCACAGCAAATAAAGCTGCGGTAGTGGTCATGTTGGTACTTACTAATTTAATATTGAAATTTGTATTACTATATTTCGTCGTTTATAAATTATATATATATATATATATATATATATGTTACTCAGACACATGCAGTGATAAAAAATGAGGTCATGAATAGAATATAGCATCCCTCGTATTCACTCCATCCATGCATTTGTATATATAATAAATATTATGCTGTCTAAACTAAGGCATAGTTATTAGTTCGAGCTTGAACCCAACCGGCATTGTGTTTCAAGCATTTATAAGGGCACATGCACATGTTTTGGGGACTTACGCAGAGCGATGCAGGGAACCACTTAAAAGTTTATAATAATAAGAGAACAATATTAAAATGACCATGTTTTCAAAAAAAAAAAAAAGTCATATTATTTATACATGAAGAAGTACATTTCACTTTTTAAAATGAATATTTCATAATATTATGAAAAAAAAATTAAATCACATTTTCTTAAGAGTTAACAAATATTTGATCTTTTAATTGTATTTATTTTATTGATTATATAAATATATATTAGTATTTTGTTGTGTCATAATACATTTCACTATTAAAAAAATATTTACAAATTATGTGAACATTTGTAATCAACTTATAAGTTATTAGTATAGAGATGGTCATTTTTTCAAATTTTTTGGTACAATAAATAATATAGACTCAACAAAAAATTCAATATCTAATTAACAAACTTATGCCATAAACCTTCCAAATATATATATATATATATATATATATATATATATATATATATATATGTATGTATGTATTTATTGTACCCTATAATATAAAATAAATATTTTCTTGATGTGGTGATAATCTATAAAATGCTCAGTTTGACTACCATGATGGTTTTAAAATTGTTATATCTTCATTAAAATCAATTTAATATATAATTAGGCAATCAAATCTATTATTATCTTAAGCTAAAATAATAATAATAATAATAATTAAAGATGATTAATCAAGACAGAGAAATTAAGGCGCACCTGTAGAAGATGCCGAGCCAGATCAAGGGCTATGATCCCCGCACTGCACCCCATTCCAGACAAATTATACGCTCGCACATCACTCCTCATCTTATACTTATTCACCAACATATCCGCCATGGACGGCGTCGGCGCAAACAAGCTACAATTAACCACCACCGCATCCACATCCTTCCCCTTCATCCCCGTCCTCCCGAACAACTCCTCCACCGCCGAAAAGATCACGAGCTCCGCCTCCGCCCTCCCCCCTTCCATCGTCCTCAGCGGCGGCAAGTAGTGGTTCGGCGGCGGCAAGCACGTCTCCTCCCCAAGCCCCGACCGCTCCAAAATCTTCATTTGGAACTCGGAAGAAGTCACACAGCCGCGCGTGCTCCATGAAGGTGGCGAAGGGAACGCGGCAATAACGTAGCGGACGCAAGCACGCGTAGTCGATTAAGTAAACGGGTCGGGGGCGGGAGAGAAGGAAGGCGGCGGCAGAGCATGCGGCGGCGGTGGTTGTGAGGAGGATTAGGGTTCGTTTGGGAGTGGGTGGGGAGAGGAGAAAGAAGGCAACGCCTGCGGCGGCGATGATGGACGGAAGAATTATGCCGGCGAGCTTGGGGGGGTTGAGTGCTGGCGCCATGTTGTTGGTCTGCTTGTGATGAATATGATGATGAGTGAGAAGGGCAGGGGCGTATTTAAAAAGATATGTGGTTGGGGAAAGGATTTTTTTTTTTTTTTTTTGTGAGGTTGAAAGAATTTAATTGTAAATAAGAAAAAAAAATAAGAAAAAAAGATTAATAGTTAATTTTATTTAGGGGGTAGATTATTCATTTTATATTTCATTTTACTGTTGACATGAATGAATGAATGACCACTAATGTGCGTGTATTTGTGTGTGTGGTGTATTGTTTGTAGAGTAATAAGTTATCATTTTAACGTTGGTCGAGAATCCAATTCATTTTCAGGGTAACAAATGTGATAATTGAAACATCATAAATTTTTTTTGTGGGAACCTTGTTAAAAAAATTATATATTAGGCTTAGTCCAGTTGAAACGAACTATTATGAATTGGTGATTATACGTACAGACCCTTATATGATAGACAGAAAAAAGGGTAATATAAGTTCTCAATTTACAATGATTGTGCACAAAGAGCTCATTGATCCACGGTATGAAGCGATCACAATTGAAAGTAGTAGCTGGAGCTTCAGTACATCGTCTTTGAGATTGACATGACATCTTGTTGGGATTTTTTCTTTAGAATTCCCAAATTAATTAAAACTCTATTTTAGTTTCAATACCCTTTGGAATTCCAAATTAATTTCAATACCCTTTGGAATTCCCAAATTAATTTCAATACCC